GACAAGTCAAACTTCAGCCTTAAAACGTCGTTCATAGGATTTCCTGACCGTTTCAAAACATATATCGAAACAGAAGAAACCATTTTTATTAGCTGTGAACTAACTGTTCTATAAAACCTGACTTTGTTGAACATGTTTTGAATCAATATTCCATATCTTCCTACAAATAAAAGTTGGAATAAGAAAACCTTAGGCCTAAGAAGGAAGAATAAACGATGATTTTTTTACGGTGTAACAGATTCCTAGAACTGTTAAAGTTCAGTTAAATTGTTCTACAATTTGGATATGAAGCTTCCATTCAGCCCAATTAATTAAAAGGCTGCATTTTTATATATTAGAACGTTTTGTTAAAAATGTGTTATCAAAAGAAAACGTTCATTATACTGTTAATTGGTCCAAAGGTACTTATAACTGTTTACTAATTCTAAGATATCGTTCTTTCATGTTTCTAACAGGGTGTTCTATGTTCAAGATATATTCATAATAGTAATTTTCTAAGCCTTCCAGTCCTTTGTTAACGAAAGATTTTCATTTAGATAAATTCTTCCATTTTATGATGAATTAGTCTTGATTAACAACTTTCTGATTAATTCTTCGCCGTTCTTCTTTATCCAAAGTACTTTTGAATTTAACTAATATAGATACTGTCTATTTTGCTGTTATGAATAAGTATTCTAGTTATTCTATAATCAAGTGTATGAAACTCTCATAGATGCTATCTATTTTTACTGTTATTCAAAGGTATTTTAGGTATTCTATAATCAAGTGTGTAAAACTAATATAGATTTTATGTATTTTTGTTGTTATGAACAGGTATTCTATAATCAAATGTATGAAACTCTTGAACCACCCTCTGAAAAATACCTTTTAGTTCCTCGTTATTTTGTAATATTCTTCCATGTATCTGAGTTGATACTTCATTCATACTGTCCCATGTTATTAACTTGAATCAATAATTTGAAGTTACTATTTTATTAACATCCTTATCTTCTGTGTATTTTACTTGTATTAAAGATATTTCATCGTACTTAATTAATAGAAAGTTATGTAATCTTTGAGTTCATTTATATCCATTTTTACTTCACTTAACACAGAATTCAGGAAAAACAAGACAGTTGTACGTTTGACAAATAGATCATTTATTACGGACATGGTTTCGCCAGTAAAGGCATCATCAGGTACAGAAAACCCTAAGTGACGTTGACATTCACCTGGAGACAAGTGGAGAGGAGCTAATTTTTTGAAGTGTAACAACTACCACAAGAGTTTTAAACCGCAAACAATAATATCTAAACCTAATTGACTTTTTACGATCTTATCTTTACCTCCTGTTTCAGTGGATGTCAGTCATTTTGTTGTTTCAATTCATTGTTATTTACCTGATTTAGGTTGTTACTAGTTTTCAAGGTAAATTTTCCGTCGTTGACTAAACCTGAAGTTTCTGTTCGTATATTAGATATGCGTCTGTTTGTCGTCTCTGCCAAACCACTGCATTTATAATGAAGTGAACCCGTACAAATTCTATAGCATTTTACATAGTCTCCATCGGCAAGTGAAGGCTTTATACAAACGTCACAACATTCAGCACCCATTTTATGATTTATTTCTCATTTCAGAATGTCAGTTTTAACCACAAAAGGCATTCAATTAAAAAGCTAGGTATAAACATTCATCATGAACGATTCTGCTAGATCAAACATTCTCTTAGGCTTAAGAATTAGGCCTCTTGCTGATAATAACTCACGTTGTTATAGATCAAAACTTTTTATGTACAATCACTCGATAATTATTAATTTCCTTTCGCGTAATATGTAACTCCAACTTTCGAGACGAAAAATGAATTTGTATGCCTCATATTATTATTACTTTCTTTTCAGTTAGAACTTAACCCTAACTCTTGACGGCAAAGTAGTACTTTCTCTATAGTTTCAAAATAGAATATTCAAGTAAATGAAACAACATTTCAGCCCCACCACGTCAGGTACAAGCATTTAACCTTAGTACTGACAATGTTTCACATCCATTGAACAAATTAACTAAAGACTTACTATTAGTTAGATATCGGATAATAGATAAATAAATATGGACTACACAAATTAAAAATCCATAAAACAAATTAAGGTTTCAGTTTTTCTATGAATGTTCTGTTAAACATGTCCTAAAATCAGTGAGGTGGTTTCCTAGATTTTCTGGACGTTGTAAGCATGTTACTTATTTATGTCAATCTTAAGTTTCTATTTAGCCAGACATGAATAAAAAGAAGTTGTAAAAATTTCGACCAAATTTAGGTGTGCAAGTTATTGTGAAACACTTACATATTGAGAAACAGAATCCAAGGTTAAGCAGAATGTTGTTGACCATAGACAGAAATCATATTAATACTTAATATAAATATCACTGTTGGAAGTTAACATAATAAGGAATCATACACTAAGCTTACATATGTCGGTGTTTAATGACAGCAGCTTAAAAATAATAATATATATTCTCAACTATGCTGCTTAGTTTTATTCACACCAAGGCTTTCGGATATTTTATATGGACGTTAGCTCCATTGAAAGTTATGAACAAGAACTAACTTTCCAATATATGGTTAACACAATCACTGATCATATTCTAGAATTAAATACATCACTGTTTAAAGAAACACAATCACTGATCATATTCTAGAATTAAATACATTACTGTTTAAAGAAACGCAATCACTGATCATATTCTAGACTTATATATGTTACTGTTTAAAGAAACACAATCACTGATCATATTCTAGAATTAAATACATTACTGTTTAAAGAAACGCAATCACTGATCATATTATAGAATTAAATACATTACTGTTTAAAGAAACACAATCACTGATCATATTCTAGATTTACATATGTTACTGTTTAACGAATGCAATCATTGATCATATTCTAGATTTACATATGTTACTGTTTAACGAATGCACTCACTAATCATATTCTAAACTTATATAGGTTACTATTTAACGAAACACAATCACTGATCATATTATAGAATTAAATACATTACTGTTTAAAGAAACACAATCACTGATCATATGCTAGATTTACATATATTACTGTTTAACGAATTCAATCACTGATCATATTCTAGACTTACATATGTTACTGTTTAACGAATACGATCACTGATCATATTCTAGACTTATATATGTTATTGTTTAAAGAAACACAATCACTGATCATATTATAGAATTAAATACATCTTTGTTTAAAGAAACACAATCACTGATCGTATTATAGAATTAAATAGATTACTGTTTAATAAATAGAATACTGTTCAACGAAACACAATCACGATAATATTCTAGACTTACGTATGTTACTGTTTAACGAAATACAATTACTGATCATATTCTAGATTTACCATTATCGACACTAACAGCCTACTCTAGGTTTACTGACATCTTTGTTTAATATTATCGATAATATTAAACAAAGATGTCAGTAAACCTAGAGTAGGCTGTTAGTGTTAACAGCCTACTCTAGGTTTACTGACATCTTTGTTTAATATTATCAACACTAACAGCCTACTCTAGGTTTACATATTTCGCTATTTAACGTTAACATAATCGATAATTTTACCATTCAGGTTAAAGAGATCAATTTGCAATATTTTTAGAGACTAGTTAATTGAGGAAAGGTACAGATAGGGATGTTCTAATCATCTACTATTTTGTCAGCGACATTTGTACTATTTACATCATAGATACGAGATATTGTATTGAAGCTTTTAGAGCGTCCCCGCAGCTGACACAGCAGAGATATGCTCTTTTACAGTTTTACACTAAAGCATACCTGTAGAACAGCGACGAAAATGTAGCAACAAGAAAATTCCTAAGACTAATATCAATGTTTTATGTTAAAGAAACGAAGTACAATTCATTTAATACAGACAACAAGTGAAACGTTCAAAATGTTTAAGTGATAGAGTGACCTAACGATCTTTTTTTACTTGATCAAATATTTAAGTGTTTGTTAAAGGTATGTTAATGATAAGGTGATGATACAGATTAAAACAAATATTTAAGTATTTGTTAATGATAAACTGAGAATACAGATTAAAACATTAAATATAGAGCAACTAGATACATGGTAAATTAAGGAATACATAAAACGTTTTTTCAACATTCTCGATATTTCTCTGTATTCATATTCATCTAATAAATTATACAACAAAATCAATATTTTAAAGTGGCCACTGGTCATCATAAAAGTCAAAAATAAAGTAGCAATGATGCAAAAAATAAACATTAATCCTTGAACTGGTAATTTTTTCCCTTTTTCAATCAGAAAAGAAAGAAAAGAAAAAACTATTTTTTTTATAAAACAGACAAAACTGGTGAAGAAATTCAGTCTTTGGTTAGCCGCTTGGAGGTCATTTGATCCTTAAGAATATTCTTTAGCAAGGTTCTTGGTGGTGTCTTACTCATGTTCAGGACTTCCACCTACCGTCTAATCATCACTGACAAGGCATGGACGAACTAGAGTTGACGGCTTTATTGTTTTTTTATTTGCGATGATGGTCAATACGGAATGCAGTAATGATTAGACTTTAGTCAAATGGTGGAAGAAAAAATATCTAACGTTTTACAGAAAAATGCCCTTTCGTATTATTGAAAAATTCAATGTGGATAATGATTAAATCCGCAATAAATTATGCCTACTTGAAATATTGTTCGTGCATGTTTACAATATCTAAGCTAATTGTGCTCTATTTGTTCAGAACGCTCTGTACGTTCATTATCTCATATGACTGTACGGTAATCTCAAATAATTTTACTCTCTAGATGAATTAATTTAAATCTAAAATCTAAGATATGAGTAGGAGCTTCAGCAGAGGACAAAAGATCAGGCATAGTCTGCACAAAGTTATGACTGCTGAACAGAAAGCAACCAATCACCAATACACACTATCTATTATGCGGCTACTGATAAATAAATGCCAGGATCGACTGCCCCATTTTAAACTCATCTATGGCTACACGTGCGGAGTATGTTCAGAAGCTTATCGTCTCGAACTTTGGGCCTTCTGATACGCAGTTTGGTCCGCAAGGATTGTCTGCATGGTAAGTACATATTCATTTCATTTATATAGAAGTCTCACGTACATCTAAGCCCAGAGAGAACACAAAGAGAGCAACTTATTGTAAAAAATGTCTTTTTCAATCATTATTCACATAATACTTTCTATAAATAAGCCATCTTCACAATTCATAGTGAAATATTTCGGCTATTCAGTATAATACAATAATAACTTTTCCGCGATGTCGCATAAAAACTGAACGTTATTCATAGCATTAAAATAACATATTTTGCGATATATGCGATAACTACAGCCATGAAATAAAACTACGAATTTTATTTAAAAAAATGAAAATATTTGTATTTATGAGATTCTTACATTATTCTCAAACGTTACAGATAAAAATAATACTGAAGAAAAAAAAATCAGAATTTGATGTGTTCCAGAAGATCAAGCATGAAGATCACAGATGTTTAAAGGGAAATTGACCGAAAAAGCTTAGGGTAGCTTACCTGTTACCCGCCGTTATATTCGTGGTAGTTTTCTTCGGAACAGAGCAAGTAAGAACAGTGAACAGATAGTGATGGAGACGTTATAAAACAGTCACTACGTCCTGATTGGTTATTATGACAATATGTGTTTGATAGGAGAGATTCGGCTCTGCGACAGGTAGCTCTCTCGCACGCCTCTCCTAGACTGGGTCGTTAGACGAATGTTTAGCTATATAACGGACAGTAGTGTTTACGTGGATGCCTCAGCCACGATCGATAACCATGTGGAAACGTAAGCTATTTATCCACGCCCCTAGCTCGAGAACATTGCTTAGGGGTATCAATAATTTGAGAGAGCCTCTAACATTAGACCCGACAAGAATGCCGCAACTAATGAGGAATAGGCATTAATAATCTTTCACGCTGGGCACAGACAGACGCACAGCATACCTAGCGGTTAAACTGAAAGACTGTTCACAGCAAAAAGCCTTCGGAAGACAATTAAACTACCGTTAGTATCAGATTACCTGCATCTGATATACACATTTGATTTTATTAGTAAAGCTAATGATTTATTGCTCAAAGAAAATCTGGTAATCTTTCCAACATTACTACTCAGAAAAAAATCCTTCAAACATTTTTTTTTTTGCTCAAAAAACTTGGTAAACTTAACAACATCCTACTCAGAAAGAATATGATAAACTTACATTCTTGATGGTGAAAAAGAACCTGGAAAACATAACGTCACGCTACTCAGAAAGAACCCGGTAAACTTACCAATATGATACTCAGAAAAAAACCTGGTAAAATTGCCTATGTTTTGGTTGGAAAGAACCTGGTAAACGTTTCTATATGTTGGTAAGAACGAACCTGGTAAAATTACTTACGTTTTGGTGAGAATGAATCTGGTAAACTTACCTATATGTTGGTAAGAATGAATCTGGTTAACTTACGTATATCTTGGTAAAAATGAAACTCACCTAAAGTTGCTTATTTTTGATGAGAATCAATCTGGTAAACTTACATATGTTTCGGTGAGAAAGAACCTGGTAAACTTACCTATATGCTGGTAAGAATGATTCTGCTAAACTTACCTATGTTTTGGTGAGAATGAATCTGGTAAAGTTACCTATGTTTTGGTGAGAATGAATCTGGTAAACTTACCTATATGTTGGTAAGAATGAATGTGGTAAACGTACGTATGTTTTGGTGAGAATGAATATGGTAACGTTACCTATACTTTGGTGACAAGAACCTGGTAAACTAACCTATATGATGGTAAGAATAATCTGGTAAACTTACCTATTTTTGGTGAGAATGAATCTGGTAACCTTACCATTGATTTGGTAAAAAAGAACCTGGAAAACGTACATTTATGTTGGCAAGAATGAGCCTGGTAAACTTGACTGGTTGGTAAGAATGAATCTGGTAAACATAGGTATGTTTTGGTGAGAAAGAATCTAGTAAAGTTACCTATATTTTGGTGAGAATGAACCAGGTAAACTTACCTATATGATGGTAGGAATGAATCTGGTAAACGTACCTATGTTTGGTGAGAATGAAACTGGTAAAGTTACCTATATTTTGGTGAGAAAAAACATGGTGGTGATAATAATCTGGTAAACTTACCTATTTTGGTGAGAATGAATCGGATAAAGTTACCTAGGTTTTGATGAGAAAGAACCTGATAAACTTACCTATTTGTTGGTAAGAATGAATCTGGTAAACTTACCTATATTTCGGTGAGAAAGAATCTGGAAAGTTACCAATTTTTTTGTGTTAAAGAACCTGGTTAACGTGCGTATATGTTGGTAAGAATGAGGCTGTTAACCTAACCGATATGTTGGTAAGAATAAATCTGGTAAACTTACCTATGTTTTGGTGAGAATGAATCTGGTAAACTTACCTATATGTTGATATGAATAAATCTGCAAAACTTATTTATGCTTTGGTGAGAAAGAACCTTGTAAACTTACCAATATGTTGGTCAGAATGAAACTGGTAAACCTACCTATATGTTGGTAAGAATGAATGTGGTAAATGTACTTATGTTTAAGTGAGAATGAATCTGGTAAAGTTACCTATATTTTGGTAACAAAGAACCTGGTAAGCTTACCTATATGATGGTGAGAATGAATCTGGAAAACTTACCATTGTTTTGGTGAGAAAGAATCTGGTAAAGTTACCTATATTTTTGGAGAGAAAGAACCTGATAAACTTACCTATATGATAGGAAAATGACACTGGTAAACGTACCTATGATTTGGTGAGAAAAAATCTGGTAAAGTTATCTATATATTGGTGAGAAAAAACCTGGTAAACTTTCATATATGATAGTGAGAATGAACCTGGTAAACTTACCTATATGATGGCAATAATAATCTGGTAAATTTACCTATGTTTTGGTGAGAATGAATCTGGTAAACTTACCTATATGTTGGTAAGAATGAATGTGGTAAACGTACGTATGTATTGGTGAGAATGAATCTGGTAACGTTACCTATATTTTGGTGACAAAGAACCTGGTAAACTAGCCTATATGATGGTAAGAATAATCTGGTAAACTTACCTATTTTTGGTGAGAATGAATCTGGTAAACTTACCATTGTTTTGGTGAGAAAGAACCTGGTGGTAACAATAATGTGGTAAACTTACTTATTTTGGTGAGAATGAATCGGATAAAGTTACCTAGGTTTTAATGGCTGGAGACCTAGGTTTTGATGAGAAAGAACCTGATAAACTTACTTATTTGTTGGTAAGAATGTATCTTGTAAACTTACCTATGTTTTCCTAAGAATGAATCAGGTAAACTTACCTATGTTTTGGTGAGAAAGAATCTGTTAAACTTGCCTATATGTTGGTCAGAATGAATCTAGTAAACTTATCTATATTTCGGTGAGAAAGAATCTGGAAAAGTTACCAATTTTTCTGTGTTAAAGAACCTAGTTAACGTACGTATATGTTGGTAAGAATGAAGCTGCTAACCTAACCGATATGTTGGTAAGAATAAATCTGGTAAACTTACCTATATGTTGGTATGGATAAATCTGGAAATGTTAGCAATGTTTTGGTGTCAAACAACCATGGTTAACGTACTTATATTTAGGTAAGAATGAATCTGGTAAATTTATCTATGTTTCGTTGAGAAAAAACCTTTAAAAAGTTCCTATATGTTGGTAAGAATGAATCTGGTAAACTTACCTATGTTTTGGTGAGAAAGAAACTGGAAAAGTTACCTATTATTTTGTGTTAAAGAACCTGGTTAACATACTTATATGTTGGTAAGGATGTGGCTTTTTAACCTGACGTATATGTTGGTAAGAATAAATCTGGTAAACGTACCTATGTTTTGGTGAGAACAAATCTGGTAAACGTACCTATATGTTGGTAAGAATGAATCTGGTAGACTTGCCTATACGTTGGTAAGAATGAATCTGGTAAACTTACCTATCTTTTGGTGAGAAAGAAACTGGAAAGTTACCTATGTTTTTTGTTAAAGAACCTGGTTAACGTACTTATATGTTGGTAAGAATGAGGCTTTTTACCTGATGTATTTGTTAGTAAGAATAAATCTGGTAAACGTACCCATGTTTGGGTGAGAAAGAACCAGTTCAACGTGCCTACATGTTGGTAAGAATGAATCTGGTAAACTTAACTATGTTTTGCTGAGAAGGAATCTGGTAAACTTAACTATGTTTTGGTTAGAAAAATTCTGGAAAAGTTACCAATGTTTTGGTGTTAAAAAACCTGGTTAATGGTTTCTTTCTCACCAAAACATAGGTAAGTTTACCAGATTCATTCTTACCAACGTATAGGCAAGTCTACCAGATTCATTCTTACCAACATATAGGTACGTTTACCAGATTTGTTCTCACCAAAACATAGGTACGTTTACAAGATTTATTCTTACTAACATATACGTCAGGTAAAAAGCCACATTCTTATCAACATATAAGTATGGAAAGTTACATATGTTTTTTGTTAAAGAACCTGGTTAACGTACTTATGTGTTGGTAAGAATGAGGCTTTTTACCTGATGTATATGTTAGTAAGAATAAATTTGGTAAACGTACCTATGTTTGGTGAGAAAGAACCAGTTAAACGTGCCTATATGTTGGTAAGAATGAATCTGGTAAACTTAACTATGTTTTGGTTAGAAAAATCCTGGAAAAGTTACCAATGTTTTGGTGTTAAAGAACCTGGTTAATGTACTTATATTTTGGTAAGAATGAGTCTGGTAAATTTACCAATGTTTCGGTGAGAAAGAACCTGTGAAAAGTTCCTATATGTTGGTAAGAATGAATCTGGTAAACTTACCTATATTTTGCTGAGAATGAATCTGGTAAACTTACCTATGTTTTGGTGAGAAAGAAACCGGAAAAGTTACCTATGTTTTTTGTTAAAGAACCTGGTTAACGTACTTATATGATGGTAATAATGAGGCTTTTTACCTGACGTATATGTTAGTAAGAATAAATCTGGTAAACGTACCTATGTTTGGGTGAGAAAGAACCTGTTAAACGTGCTTATATGTTTGTAAGAATGAATCTGGTAGACTTGCCTATGTTTTGCTTGAGAAGGAATCTGGTACACTTAACTATATAGTGGTACGAATGAACCAGGTAAAATTACTTATATCTTGATAAGAATTTAATCTGGTAAACTTACCTATGTTTTCTTGAGAATGAATCAGGTACATTTATCTATGTTTTGGTCAGAAAGAATTTGGAAAACTTACCTATGTGTTGGTATAAACGAATCTGGTAAACTTACTTATGTTTTGGTGAGAAAGAACATGGAAATTCACCTATATCTTGGTCAGAATGAGCCTGATAAATGTACCTATAGGTTGGTAAGAATGAATCTGGTCAACGTACCAATGTTTTTGGTGAGAAAAAATCTGGTAAACGTACCTATATGATGGTAAAAATGAGTTTGGTAAATTTACCTATATTTTGGTGAGAAAGAACCTGTTAATCGTGCGTATATGTGGTAAGAATAAATCTGGTAGACTTGCCTATATGTTGGTAAGAATGAATCTGGTAAACTTACCTATATTTTGCTGAGAATAACTTACCTATGTTTTGGTGAGAAAGAAACTGGAAAAGTTACCTATTATTTTGTGTTAAAGAACCTGGTTAATATACTTATATGTTGATAAGAATGTGGCTTTTTACCTGACGTATATGTTAGTAAGAATAAATCTTGTAAACGTACCTATGTTTTGGTGAGAACAAATCTGGTAAACGTACCTTTATGTTGGTAAGAATGAATCTGGTATACTTGCCTATACGATGGTAAGAATGAATCTAGTAAAAGTACCTATGTTTTGGTGAGAAAGAACCTGTTAATTGTGCCTATATGTTGGTAAGAATGAATCTGGTAGACTTGCCTATATGTTGGTAAGAATGGATCTGGTAAAGTTACCTATATTTTGGTGAGAAAGAACCTGGCAAACTTACCTATATGCTGGTAAGAATGATTCTGGTAAACTTGCCTATGTTTTGCTGAGAAGGAATCAGATACACTTAACTATATAGTGGTAAGAATGAACCAGGTAAAATTACTTATATCTTGGTAAGAATGAAACTGGTAAACTTACCTATGTTTTCGTGAGAATGAGTCAGGTAAATGTATCTATGTTTTAGTGAGAAAGAATCTAGAAAAGTTACCTATGTTTTGGTGTTAAAAAACCTGATTAAGATTCTTGTATGTGGGGAAGAATGAGGCTCTTAACCTGACCTATATGTTGGTAAAAATAAATCTTGTAAACTTACCTATGTTTTGGTGAGAAAGAACCTGGTGAACTTACCTATATGTTGGTATAAACGAATCTGGTAAACTTACTTATGTTTTGGTGAGAAAGAACCTGGAAACTTACCTATATGATGGTAAAAATTAGTTTGGTAAATTTGTTGGTAATTATGAATCTGGTAAACTTACCTATGTTTTGCTCAGAATGAATCAGGTACATTTACCTTTGTTTTGGTAAGAAAGAATCTGTTAAACTTGCCTATATGTTGGTCAGAATGAATCTGGTAAACTTACCTATATTTTAGTGAGAAAGAATCTGGTAAAGTTATCTATGTTTTGATGTTAAAGAACTTGGTTAAGGTACTTATATGTTGGGAAGAATGAGGCTTTTAACATGACCTGTATGTTGGTAAGAATAAATCTGGTAAACTTACCTATATGTTGGTAAGAATGAATCTGGTAAACTTACATGTTTTCTGGTGAGAATTAATCTGGTAAACTTACCTCTATGCTGGTGAGAAAGAAAGCTTGATGCCATTTAACAAATTTTGTACTTTCTGCTGTGGCTGTTATTAAACGAACAGCCACATACTTAGTTTAAATGTGTTGCAATAATTCAACAATTAATTTTAGTGCATTGGGTGCCGTTCAGTTATGAAATTTCATTTGTTACTGCGTTGCGAAAAATTAAAACGGATACATAATACTTTTCTATGTTAAACATTTTGGACAATGGCTTTCTTAATCCTGAACATATTTGCACTAGACTAAAATTTAAGCAAACAGAAGAACGTCACAATACAAAAATTAAAATTAAAATTCTCATAATATGTAATATGACTAATAATATGTAACTACCAATTTTTAAGCCCCCCAGTGGCACAGCGGTATGTTTGCGGACTTAAAACGCTAGAATCCGGGTTTCGATACCCGTGGTGGAGCTTTGTGCTTAATTACAAACAAACAAATTAATTTTTAAAAGAAATTGCCATTTCGAGAAAAATTTTATCATAAAAAAATGTGTACAAAAAACTTTACATTAAACACATATTCACCAATGGTCCCCAGCTTATTCTATTTGTACTTCTCAGCTTTGCATTAAGCAAGCAGAAAAGCACATTGAACTCTAAACAAACACTTATCGAGAGATTATTGAAGCGCGCAGTAATCAAACAAGTATATCCGTTCAGATGTACAGCTTCACCATAAGTATATCCACTCAGATGTACAGTTTCACCATAAGTATATCCACTCAGATGTACAGTTTCACCATAAGTTTATACCTTCAGATGTACAGCTTCACCATAAGTATATCCGTTCAGATGTACAGTTTCACCATAAGTATATCCATTCAGATGTACAGTTTCACCATAAGTATATCCGTTCAGATGTACAGCTTCACCATAAGTATATCCGTTCAAATGTACAGTTTCACAATAAGTATTTCCGTTCAGATGTACAGTTTCACCATAAGTATATCCACTCAGATGTACAGTTTCACCATGTCTGATCGGCATCCATTGTCTTTCTTTAGATTGAGCTTATACGTGTTTGTCAGATGTACAGTTTCACCATAAGTATATCCACTCAGATGTACAGTTTCACCATAAGTATATCCGTTCAGATGTACAGTTTCACCATAACGGATATACTTATGGTGAAACTTTACATTTTAGTGGATATACTTATGGTGAAACTGTACATCTGAACGGATATACTTATGGTGAAACTGTACATCTGAATGGATATACTTATGGTGGAACTGTACATCTGAGTGGATATACTTATGGTGAAACTGTACATCTGAGTGGATATACTTATGATGAAACTGTACATCTGAGTGGATATACTTATGGTGAAACTTTACATCTGAACGGATATACTTATGGTGAAACTGTACATTTGAGTGGATATACTTATGGTGAAGCTGTACATCTGAAGGTAAAAACTTATGGTGAAACTGTACATCTGAGTGGATATACTTATGGTGAAACTATACATCTGAACGGATATACTTATGGTGAAGCTGTACATTTGAACGGATATACTTATGGTGAAGCTGTACATCTGAACGGATATACTTATGGTGAAACTGTACATCTGAACGGATATACTTATGGTGAAACTGTACATCTGAACGGATATACTTATGGTGAAACTGTACATTTGACTGGATATACTTATGGTGAAACTGTACATCTGAACGGATATACATATGGTGAAACTTTACATCTGAGTGGATATACTTATGGTGAAACTGTACATCTGAACGGATATACATATGGTGAAACTGTACATTTTAGTGGATATACTTATGATATACATATGGTGAAACTGTACATTTTAGTGGATATACTTATGGTGAAACTGTACATCTGAACGGATATACATATGGTGAAACTGTACATCTGAACGGATATACTTATGGTGAAACTGTACATCTGAACGGATATACTTATTCAAGGGACTGAAACTTAAAACAAAAACTGTGTCAAAATCAACATGACTCATGTTCTGTTACGTCTGGTGGCGTGTGAGTGGCTAATATTACAAGATAACAATCGTTTCTGGCTAATAAAGCCTTACGTTGTGTCTTGGCTGACACAAAATATAAATGTTAAATTTCAACCAATTTACACATACTTGGTTTGTTGTTAAGCGTAAATCTACATAATGGACTGTCTGTGTTGTGCCCACCACAGATATGGCAATCCAGTCTATAAGCCTTTAGACTTACATACATAATATTATTGAGCCAGTGAGGGGGGGGGGCTACAAATACATAATATTATTTGCAAATTAAGACATTTCATAACATAAAAGTCAAGCATTGTATAAAAACAATATCTTAAAATTAGCTCCTAATAAGAGCGATTAGTTAATACCATACACTACTTTTGAACGGTTCAAACTAAAGCTTGTCATAAAAAGTGACTTCACGACACAATAATGTATTTAAATAAATACAACCTTGAACTGAAAACTGTATAACATTTCTGCTGTTAGAAAACACAGAAAACTTTTATATCAATACAACAATAGAGTTATAGTTCATCCAAATCTCTGATTGGGGAACACAGTGTATCGTGAAATAGCAACGTTCGTGTTCATTTACAACACATCATTTCTACTGCAAACGTTTTAATCCAAGTAAAAGTGTTGGTTCAATACTTATTTGTTTTTGATGTTACTTTGATACAAAACTCGGAAACTATATATATATATAGCAACGAAATTCATAAACTAACTTCTTAAAGAAACTGCAGTGCAAATGAATAGGCCATATTTCATTTAAAAAAATAACTCCACTGAAAATTTTACAACCGAAAGCTCTCTAGAAACGAAGTGTTCATACATATAAACAATGATATTCTCAAGTCTTCTTCAAACAAATCTGAGGTACTAGAATTATGCATTCAGTCCTTCTTATGGTCGCAGGCTTATACGGTGTAATTACTGATGAGTTATTGATTCTGTTATTATTACTAGACTCTAATTAGTATTTACTACTAAATAGGCTCGAGCTCTGATATGTCGCTGTACACGCTTCACACAGCAGACCAGTACTGCTTACCGGTGTTCCTTCTCTCTCAACAGTTGAAAATTGTGGATGTATATGTATGACTCTTGGGTGCTCTAACCTAGCTTGGTGTTCCTCCCTCTCTTTCAGCAGTTCAAAATTGTGGATGTATATGTATGACTCTTGGGTTCTCTAACCTAGCTTGGTGTTCCTCCCTCTCTTTCAGCAGTTCAAAATTAAGGATGACTATATCTGACTTTTGGGTTCTCTAACCTAACCAGGTGTTCCTCCGTCTCTTACAGCAGTTCAAAATTATGGATGGCTATGTAGGACTCTTGGGTTCTCTGACCTAACCCGGTGTTCCTCCCTCTATTTCAGCAATTCAAAATTATGGATGGCTATGTAGGACTCTTAGGTTTTCTGACCTAACTGTTTGGCTTTTGAGTTGCACAGAGTGGTATTGAAGTTGAAAATACGAAATAACAAAATAACTAATTAATCCATGATACGTTGCATAAAAAAGTATAACATCCAACTTAACACATACACACTAATAAATGCATGCGACACAACATAATAAACACATGACACTACTCTATATAGGAGTTGTGTATGTAACTTTTTATTCTCGTTACATCTGTTATATATTAACTGCCTCGATTCACTGCTAACCAAATCAATAAATCAACAAATTTAATGTTTAATGAACCTACTAGACAGAATGATTTATTAACAGCCAATTTTACAGTATCCAAGTTCTTATTTTAATAATTACAGCTTTTGGACCGCTATTCCGAGTCATCATCTGTTAAACGATTTGTTTGACTCGATACTATGGGTGAAAACGTTGTAATTATTTAAATAGTAATTTGACTACTGTGTTATTGATGTTATTTTGTTTTGAAAAAAAAGAGGTATATTTATTTGAGATACGAAATGGATTGAATGAATCAGGGTCAGCTTTAACTTATCTTTACCTCGATGTCATCGTTCTTGACACCAAATATTTCCCTCTAGACGAACTTGTCTAACATGGAAATATGAAAACGTTTATTGTTATTATTTTATTTTGTTGTATTTCTTTTTCGTTTTAAAATGACACTTTCGTGATAAATAATCTATCAACATTTTTTTCTACATACATTCTTTTCAGGCCATGGGCAACAGTGCTGCACGTGTACGTTTGTCTGTTTCTTGGAAACGTACTAATTAACTACGGTATTTTTTACTCTGCATTAGTTATGCATTTCTCCGAGAATAGAAAATCTTATTTTTGAAGATTCGCAGCAATTTTACAAAATATGTTTTCCTTATGTCACCTTAAAATGTTCAATGTATTTTTTATATATATTTTCAGTATCATTGCATGTTTTAATATATAGAAAAATAACATACTGTTATTTGTTATGGTGTAAACGTTTTTTCAAGCTCATGAAGCATGATTATAATAAATTTACTTCTCACAGGACATTAGTATTAGGCCTAGTACATTTATAACACAGAATTCTGTATCTAGTCTCTTAAGAATTTCAAAAAATTAGAATAGTGTATAATAATAGTATTACAACAAAGCTATGTTCACCATATCTATATGGCAATGAAAGTTTTTATTCATAAGATAAGTATTTATCTGATTATAGAAAAGCTTCTTGAAATACGATATATCAAAATGGATATGGCGAATATGGTGTGGTTAGAATACTATTATTATACACTCTTTTAATTCTTGAAAATTCCTTAAGGAATAGATATGCAATGTAGTGTTAAAAATACATAAAAGGCCTAATACTAGTGTCTTATGACAAGAATGTTTAATTATAATCATGCTTCGCCAGCTTATAAAAGGCGTTCACGCCATACAAGTTAGAATACATTGTTAAAAAAAAAAAGACATAATAGGCCTAATGCTAATGTCTGATGTAAATTGTTAGTCGTTGTAAGATGTATTTCATTCATAATTTTTAAATCAATCTAATTTGGGAAATTAATTTGTTGGAATCAATTAAACTAAATATACATAATTTTCGATGTATCTCTATAAATTATGTTATCTGATTTATTGTTGGCTACAGGTATTCTGTTATTACATACGAAAGCTTAACAATGAACAATAAACTCTACAACTTTAACAATGTGTGTACACTTTTCCTTTGTTTAATCTTCAAAGTTTAATGTCATGTTACACCAGCCTTACATTAATCTCTGCGAAGGTAAACTTTGTTTTACAAACTTTTCAGCAAATATATGCTGCCGGTATTAACATACACCAATAATATTTTGCCAGTAATGAAGAAGAAAAAAAAATAGGTTATTTATCTGTCTTTTAGATCAATTACAAAAGTAAGTATTGAATTAATGAATGAATACTGGTATCATATGTTTTAATACCTTGAACAAATTGTGTATTATATGGATAACGGTGGATTTATTAATTTCTTCAAGTGAAACTGGCGAACGGAGGTTAAGACTGATAGACGGTATATCGCCACCGCAATGTGTGTCCTACTTTCGCAGTCATCTCCAAAACCTAGGGCACATTTTATATCCTACATTATAGCCTGTACCCTGAGGATCCTTTTGATTCCTGCAGCGTCTTTGATTTTATTTTTGTTTGGACTTGTTTTTATTCATTTAAATGTTATTTATCACAGGTTTGGGTTTGTTGTTTTTAACGCAGTTCTTCCCTTTGATTCTGTTTTACTTGGCTATTGAGTATAAACCTTATATATATATATACTATTAAAACGATTATTTGTTATAAAATAATTAATTGTTCATCTTACTAAATTCTACTTATTTGTTATAGAGTTTTAAGATGAGTTTGTATTTTAGATAAAACATCTTTGTGGATGAGCTCATAACATTGTTAGTTATTTAATTGTTTTTATATATTTAAATAGTTTTAATTTTATCAAACTTTTAAGATTTGTTTTCCTGTGTCCAAATTGTAAATGTGGTTTGTTTGCTTTCAAAAATAAAGTACATTTAACTGTTTGTCTATCTATCAGTCTACTTATTTTCTAATCATATGACATTAACATCCAAGACTATAATAATGTTGAAATTGGTGCACAGATGACCCCAAAAAACCAGATTACTAGTAAATATTAGCTTTGGAGAAACTTCTTACTGAGATATTAAGTCTTTCATTTCTTCTTTAACAACTCCCCCCCCTTAGAAATAACGAAAACTATTACATGAAAAGTCTTTGAACGACTCACCCGAATATCTGTTTAATCACCGTTTGATTCTGTATTAATCAATGATTCTGTGTTATCAGTAATAAACATGTGGTGATGACGAACTAAAAAAAAAAAACAGTATTGGGAAGAAACGTCACTAAGAGTACAAACGTGACGTAGGGTATGAGAATTCTGAGCTGATAAGTTTATTACATGAACTACTTGGCTGTAGAGATTCTTGACCAGTCAGTCGAATAGTCTGTCAGTAAATGTTCTTAAGGCTTCCTAATTAAGGGCCGAGCATGGCCAGTATGCCGGACATTTTATCTATGTGTACAACACCTGAGTCCCGTTACCACACGAATAAATAAATCGTTATCGGCACTTTGGAATGGTAGGCGCGTAATAAGAGTGACTGTAAAAACCGATTAATCAGTCCAATAGAATAGTACAAAAACTAGTGGTGGGTGTAGTTGAAAAGCCGCGTCCCCCCTAGCTTTTCAGTTTAAAATTGGGAACGGTTAGCACAGATAGCCCTGTCCCCCAGTGGGTCAGTGATATGTTTGTAGATTTACATCTATAAAATCCTGAGTTTTATTCGAAGTGTATAAATCGCAGATAGCCTATTGTGTGGCTTTGCGTTAAAACAAACAAGCAAAAAGGTTAGTGAGAGTATG